CTCTCTCTCTCTCTCAAGCAGCAGCAGAGCAGCAAACGCGGAAGGTGAAATCTACTCGATGCAAAACATTGAAACAGCGATAAGGACTACATACAGCACACATCTGCTTCATCAGATGAAACAAAGAGCAGGTCAACGGGGCAACACTGAGACCTTTTGAAATCAGATTATGAATGACATATGCAAAATATATTCACAATGGATTCTCAGATGTGCACAATAAAATGAATAAACCAAGTCTGACATAATGCCTGTACTTTCATTTGTTCGATTTTGATTCATTTGTTGCCTTGTACTACAAAATGCACTTGATAAATTAAAAGGATATAGTAAATCACTTCCATAGAGTTGGCTGGCTTGTGAGAAACTGATAAAACAAGTGGTAAAATGCAAAGCCACAGAGGCCGAGCTATCCTGGCTTTTAAGGCCTCAGTATCCAATCAATATCTCAGATTTTTCACTGAATAAGTGAAAACTTTGACCTGCTGGTGGTGCTAAAAGTCAGGGGCTCACAAACGTCAGCAGGATTCGTTTTCTGGACATTATGAATGTATGTATAAAATCATCTCAATCCATCCAATAGCTGTTGAGATATTGCAGTCTGCACCAAAGTGGTGGACTGACATTTCCATCCCAAGCGCTGTGTCTCTAGCGTGGCTAAAGATGGCAGATATTCAACAAGGTTTAAACTGCATGCTGTCGAATTAAGATTTCCCTGATTAGAGGGGTCAAACAAGGAAAAGCTGACCCTGACCAAAAGTATGTGTCCCTTCCCTGTTGACGTTCTATCAGTCCTGGACTGCAGACAACTGCACTTCCTGCTTGTTTCGGGTGTTTCATTTCAAATCTACTGTATCCTATTTCCACAGTGTTTAACCTTCATTGCTGCAGGACAGGAAGCACAGTGTAGCTGCCGTCCTCAGCACTGTGCTGTCCTCGGACTGGTTTGTGGTTTTGAGGTTTCAGCAGAAGTCACACTGTGTTAAATCCTCTGCCAGGATTTCTCCCTCTGTGGCAGAAAGTAACTCCCACCGCTGGAGGAGGAAAGAGGGAATGCCACTAGGCCAGTAACTGTTTGTTACACAGAATCATCTGGGAAGTCGCTGTAGAAAAGGGTAGGCACTTTCAAAAAACACTTGTCGGGTGATTGGATAGTCCATCAAATTTCAACCAATCAGAACGTAGTTAAACTCTTACTGAAGACAGTCTGAAGAGAGAAAACATCTTTTCCATCAAGAAAAGCCTTCAGTGTCGTTCTTTGCTCTTCTTTCAATGAAGAAATACTCTCCAGCCGCTATGGTTTCCCATTAGTCACTTATCACACACACACCT